TTTGCTTAATAAAAAATGAGTAAGAGTATATGTACTTTTTTTTCTCGCTTGTTAGATTGATTTGCATTTGTTTTCAGTAGTTCTTTTATGAAACTTCAAAGCCGTACATCAACCCGCATAAGACATTATTCCTAGATAATATTAGCACAGTATTGGTTAAAAGTTGTATCTATAACTGAAGTTAATCAAAGCTCAAATGAATTGTGCATTGAAATTTTTTGTTTTTCTGGCTTAAAACAGAGAAATAATTCGAATTTATTAGCAATGATCGCTTGAAAGTTCAGTTCCAACGAAGCGCAAGACTATCCAACTTCTTAAAAAGAAAAATCAGCTTATTTTTGTAACTATAATAAGCCTTCTGAATATGACCTTTTTTATTATTACTATGAGCCAAGCAATATGTCTACCTACAGAGAAAATTAGATATGTGAATTTGGATACATATATAATCAACCAGTATTTTCCCCAAAACTGGAAGAGTTATATTCGAATAGAGATCTTCATTATGAATACGAACTGTTACATTCAAATTACCTGCACAACTTCTGAAGCAGCTGAGATAAAAGAGGATGCGAAATCAGAGACGAGGATGAGGGAAAAAAGAACACCTAATATATCTCATGTTGAGTGTATCTTACAAGAAATTGTTATATAGGATGAGTTTATATATCTCACATGCATCTCATAAGTATCATATGGGACAAGTGCAATTCATGTGAATTGTTATGTAGGACGAGTACGCATCTAACATGAATTGTCGTGTAGAATCAGTATCTTAGGTGAATTGTCATATATTACAAGTGTAATTTACATGAATTGATATATAATTAGATGAGTGTATCTGACATGAGTTGTCATATAGGACCATAATATCTCATGTGAATTATCATGTAGGACGAATGTATCTCACATGAATTTTCATGAATGACAAATTTAGCTCCCATGAATTGTGATGTAGTATGAGTAAATCTCACATGAATTGTCATGTCAAACGAGTGTAATCCATTGTTTAGTTTAATTTTAATTTTACATCATATATAATTAAAATGATAAAATTTAAAAACCAGAAAGGGATTCAAGGAAGAGTGTATCTGCTTCGGATTGTGAGGTATCAATATTTGGGATGAAACAGGAGAAGGAGCTAGAAAAGAAAACTACTACTAAGATGAGAAGAATGTGGAGATAAGCTTATTTTCCAGTTTCTTCAATATCGCGCATCTTACTAGTAATTTTCGTCTTCTCCTTCCTCTGTTTCATTCCAAACATTTGTTGCAGTGATGTAATAGTTATTTCAACATCTTTGGTAATTTATATTTGCAATGAATAAATTATTACTTTTCTTTTGCAATTCTCTTTTTTACTTGTGAGCTGCACATGCTACTAAATTATCAGTGAAAGATGAAAATTACTTTAACAGACGTGCTAATTACAGATCCAGGAGGAAGTTGGCTACAAGGGAACCTGAGGTACTGATTTATAAGTATATGTAGATTTAAATCCTATGAGTGTATGCAATTGAAACCATAAAGGCCTGAGATGAAAGCGGTCTAGGGAGGAATTGAAGCTGGAGTATTTGCGGTGTCCAATAGAGATAGGGAGGCTAAGATTGAGGCTCCCAAGCCACCGATGTTCAAAGGTGCTTGTGACGATAAGAGGTGGAGAATTTCCTTTGCCATTCGGGAAATTACTTCAAGCGCAACAAAGTAGTGAGAGCGACAAGAACAAGATCAACACTGTCGTGTTGTACCTCTCAGAGATGACCATTCTATTCTATGGTGGAAGCAAAAAGGAATTGGAGATTTGTTACACATGGTAGTGATTTGCACCATTAACACATGGTACCAATTCTATGTCGAGTGTAAGAAGGCCTTCTTTTCCAACAACATCATCTATAAGGTAGATCGCAATTGGCGATGTGCAAGTTTAGGGAGTTGAAGTAGACGGGCAACATACGAGCATGTGTTAAGGTGTTCACTCACGCTTTAGAATCTCAAAGTCACAGGTAAAGATATGTTGTTCCACCTCATAGCTGGACTGCAAAATTAGGCCAAGACGGAGTTGAAACACCAACAAGTAAAGTACTATTGATGAAGCCATCATGCAGGCTAGAGCTTTGACAAACTTTAGACATGACAAACATGATAGACGTAGAGGAGATGAGATGAGAGGGAGTCATGACCAAGGTGGGGGAGATCGTGATGCTGGCGCCTCACTAACCACTAATAGGACAGCTTTACAATTGTATTATGCATCTGGTGGAGAGACCTCTACTTGGGACCAGGTCCTTGCATTTGTGAGCCACTGAAATTGATAGTCTCGTGCGCTCTTCTTATTGGTGCAGTACACTGCAGCTTTCACCTACCACTTGGTGTGACAACTTTACAACTGTAAGCTACTTGAATCTGGACGAGAGTACTCTGCCATCTTACAGTTATTAAAAACAAAATAAATAATTAGCTTTATTTTTTTTTTGGAAAAAAATTACGCGATTAAGCAAACTTATACTACTACTTAATTACTCATCATAGCTATACTTTGCTTTAAATACCACCCACAACTAACATTTACCATTGATTTCGTGAGTTGATTTTGAGTTTGTATAATTGTTCACGTTTGTATATGTATAATTCACCACATTTGTATAAATCGGAACTAACAATTCTTTGTTTGATTTGTTTTTTGTATATGACGGTGATTTCCTTTGGTTTTTCAGTTTTATCATCATATACATTCAATCTTTTTGCATATAACTTTTTAAAGTTTGTATAAACGTGTAGTTTTCGAATTTAGTATAATATAATTTATAGAAAGGGGTCAAAAATACCCCTTAACTTTGGTTTATTAGTTAACTCTTAAATATTAAAGAGTTATATAAAAAATTAATTGACTCTCAAAATGCTATTGATATCAATTTGTAAATCACAATAATAAACAATTTAAAAAAAATATAAAATACATATAAAAAATTTACTTGACTCTAAAAAAGTCTTATCAGTACGACATAAATTGGGATAAGAGATGTAACTAAAGATTATAAAAATAAACAAGGATAGTTATTTTCAGTTTCTTATAAAAATAATGAATTGATATGATTGACCCGGGCTAGTCATATAGTATAAGCAGTACAAATGGTGTATCTAGTATATAATATAAGCAGAATCTTTTCCAAAACTGAATAGAGATAGATGTTCATTATGAATACAAACTGCTACCTGGACAACTTGTCAGGCAGCAACCTAAGATAAACAAAATTGATTGCACAGCTTCTGAGGCAGCGGATGCACAACTTCGGAGGCAGCCGAAACCAAATCTAACTACCTGCACAACTTCCGACTGAAGATGCACAGGCAGCAGAAAGAGATTGCACAAATTGTGAGTCGGCGGAGAAAATGATGCACAACTTCAGAGATAAGAGGATGAGATTAGATTGAGGAAAAAGAAAAAGAAGGAGAGTGAAATCAACCATTTCCTTTACCAAAACAAAAGTTGATTTCTGCTGCCGTTGCCTGGTGAGTTCCAATTCCGATTGGCCTGAGTTGGCGGATTCTCAACAAACGGAAGTCCCTACTTGGATTGTATAATTTTTCGGTATACAACCCTTCCTTTTGTTTCGTGATATAAAATAATTGATTTCTTTGTTGACTGTTAATTTTTGTTATACTTCTTATTTTTTTTGAAACAGAGCTCTTTTTGCAATGGCTACTTTTGATTCCTCCTGTGCTGACCGGAAAAAGATGGAAGACGAGATCACGGCTTATGGAATGAGCCTCATGAATCCTCCCTCTTCCATCGATGAACTATTCAAAATTCTTCAGGTAAAGATCATTTTTTTATTTGAATGAGATAAAATTACAAAAGAAAAAAAAAATGAGAATTGTTGTCCAACTATAATGATTTTGGACTGGAAAATGAAAGTGATAATCTTTTTTTGTTTGTCAGAAAGTTGAGTCATTACTGAAAACGGTTAGTCAAGAACCATTTGACTCGACAACAAGTGCAATTCAACCTTTAATGAAAGCGCTAGTTAGGAATGAACTATTGGGGCATACGAATGAAGATGTCAAAGTTTCAGTGATTTCTTCTGTCACTGAAATTTCTCGAATATATGCCCCAAATCGCCCTTACGATGATGATAGACAAATGGAGGTAAAACTATACCATTCTAACTCAATCTTTCTGTGTTTACTTTGATTTTTTTTTCCCTTTTTTAACTCGTGTCAATTTCTTGTTAGGAAATTCTCCGGCAAACCGTAATGACTTTCAAAAAGATAGCTGTTGTGAATAGCCGCAGCTACCGGAAAGTGATTCGAGTTCTGGAAGTATTCGCTAAAGTAAGGTTCACTGCGATGCTATTGGACCTCGAGAACGGAACGCTAATCATCGAGATGTTCAAAAATTTTCTTGAGGTCATCAGGTATATTCTCTGATCCTTCAATGTTATGTAGAGTTCTGGTTTGTTTCTTCAGATTAAATTTGGGTGAAATATAAATTTCGTAAGGATGTAACTGCTTATCCATTAAAAGTAATTTTACCAACACCCTTTGGACAAAGCTCTGGGCACTGACCAGCTCCGAAAGGTGCTAATCTGAAATACCCTTATGCATTGAAACACTGCTCAACCTTACGTGCTATTCAGTTGCTTGCATATACTACGTTTGGGTCACACCTAAGCATGTAGGAGACTGTGGACATTGTAAACCATGTCATTTTGTCCCAGTATATGAGCACAAGGTTATTCTAGAGATAATAGATGCTGGCTATAATAATATTTATGTTATATTTTCTATGTAGGCCCTACCATCCTACTAATATATTCACTTGGATGAAAGAAATCATGACTCGGCTCATAGAAGGCAGTGATGAAATCTCAGTAGAGCTTCTACAGCTTCTTCTTGATAGAGTCAAAATTGATAATCAGGTAATAATAAATCTCCTATGAACCTCTTTGTTAGAATATTTCTTCGTCACTTTACTAATCCAGTGGTTTCTTTTATCCAGATGGAATCACCCATTGCATCATACTTGGTGGAGGAAGTCCTAAAAGACTGTGCTGCAATTGTTAAACCGTACTTTTCAGATGCCCTAAAATCAATGAGCTTTGAACCTGCTGATTATGCTCAAACGATTGCTTTATTAAGCAATGAAATGCCAAAAGGAAAAGAAATGGTACGTTGTATTCATTACTATTCTGTCTCATCAATGCAGTTTTGCTCCGTATAAATGCCAAACACATCCATAGTTCATTATGCTCTGGAATAAAATTGTTTATCTTTCATAATCTTAAGCCTAGTACTGTAATTATTAATTAGTCACTGACAAATTGCACAGAAAATGGTATAGTTGTATGCAGTCAGATTTTGAAAAGTAAATGACATAAAACTTAAGAGCCAACTCCATCCCTGTTTAGGCTCCTGGTCCAAGCTCCAGTTGGGTGTGAATAGAGTGGCGTGCTTATATGAATTTAAATTTGGATATCCTGCCTTTCATAAGCTAGCTTTTGGTGCCATATCTTTGGGGAAACATACAATTTCTAAAGAACTTTACTCTTTGCGTACTCATGTCAATTATCCTTATTGTAAACATACATCACTCAAAGGAGTTAGAGCCGCCAACATTAGAATAACTCCACTCAGCTTACATTAGAATATTCTCTAGTGTTGAATTTAGTTAACAATAAGATTTTACTATTAGCTCTAATGCAATATTTGGAAAGAGCAGGGGGATGATTAAGTGCTTCTATTGTGTTTAATTATTAATAGGACGCCACAACAGTTTCAGTTGTGAATAGATAATAGTATTAACAATTTTTTTTATCAGATGGCAACTGAAAATGCGCCTGCTACAGTACATTGCGTAAAAGTTGGTCCATCTGAGGCTAAATGTTGTGAGCTAGCGCGGCAGGATGACACTCACAGGGAGAAGCTAAAGGATACTGTTTAACTAACATCATGAAACCTGTCAATCCAGAAGATGTGCACCCAGCAAAAAATGTGCCAAAAGAAAACCAGGAAGAGACTGGAAGCCATAAACTTACAGGTCATCCTGTAAAAGTTGGTCCATCCGAGGCTAAATTTTGTGAGCCAGTGCTGCAGGATGACATTCACATTCACAGGGAGAAGCTAAAGGATACTTGTACAACAAACATCATGAAACCTGTCAATCCAGAAGATGTGCAACCAGCAACAAATGTGCCAAAAGAAAACCAGGAAGGGACTGGAAGTCATAAACTTACAGGTCATCCTGTAAAAGTTGGTCCATCCGAGGCTAAATTTTGTGAGCCAGTGCTGCAGGATGACATTCACAGGGAGAAGCTAAAAGATACTTGTACAACAAACATCATGAAACCCGACAATCCAGAAGTTGTGCAACCAGCAACAAATGTGCCAAAAGAAAACCAGGAAGGGACTGGAAGTCATGAACTTACAGGTAGTAGTGGCCATCATTCTTTGGTGTCTGAAAATCACAATAATAGCACTGGAAGTCATGGTCATTTGTGTCAGCCCAAGAGAAAAGAGAACGATGATGAGCTGGCTGTGTCAATTCCAATAGGAGATGTGCCACAATCCCAAGTTCAGAAAAAAGATTTTCTTCATTTGGGAGAGACACAGTGTGCCAAAAGAAAACGAGGAAGCGACTCAAAGAAGAATGAGTCC